GGGGGGGGGGGGGGGGGGGGGTACGCCTTGTGTGTTTGCTGAAGTATTTGTTTTGTTGTTTTTATGTTTTTGGCGTGCTTTCAGCCTGTACACTCTTCTTACCGTAAGCAATGTGCCGTTTTTGTTTGAACACCTGTTCACATATTGTATGATCGACAGTGATTTGAAAAGAGCCTCTTTCATCTTGTTCCATTCATTACTTAGCCAATTTGATTCTGTCTTTCTCAAGTGGGGAAATTCTTCATGCACCGCGTACTTACTTTGCAGGATTCTGTAATTGCATGTGTGTGCAACTGCCTGCAGTGCTGTCGTTTCCCATTTTGTTTTTTTATTTGTGGTGTGTTTATATAAGATTGGTGTGTGATGACATTGAGTAACCCAGTTTTCTGTCTGTATCTTCCATCTTCCAGGACCGAGGCATCGGGAACACCTCTTTGTCCACGTTTGGCGTGGCTCAGGCAGCACTGGAGATCATCCTCATGTTGTATCCTTTCAGTGACCCCCCCTTCCCCCCTTTTGTTTGTGGCCAAAGTAGCATGCTCCACGGCCAAGAGCAACATTGTCAAACCAGCTTTGTTTACTCAGGACATAGTTCAGCCGGACATCTTCCGGAAGATATGTTGTGCTGTTTCGTCACCTTTTATCATAGCTGAAAAGGTGCAGACTTGGGATACTTCAACGAAGCTGCTTTGCTACCCGCAGAAAAGTGTTTTTGGTCCTTGATTGATTTGCTGAACAGCTACTTGATGGTGTCCTCTGTCGTTGGCTTCTACAGCCTGAGAGTCTTTGAGGTACTCACTCCCAGGAAGGATGACACAACCATGACAACGGTAAAAATGGGATGGAGGGACAGGGTAGGGGGTGAAGTGGGGGCAAGGGTGCTGTGATTGCTCCCGAGGTGCTGATGTGTTTGGGACCCCCCGTGTTTCATCTATTTCCTCTTTTTCCCCCTTCTCTCTCCCGCCTTCCTCTCTACTCCGAACTCCTACTGTTCACTAATGTTTTCCTCAGGGTCCCTCAATGGCTTTAGTTGATCTGTCCAATATTTGTTTGTGGGTTGCGCAAACACTGGCAAAGTGCAAGCTCCTTTCTTGTACATCAGAGGGAGAGTGGGGTTTTTTTTTTTAGGGGAGGGGGCTGGAGGATGTGTGCTCTGTTTGGCCCATAGTGGCACCTATTCACTTGGTAATGAGTTTGGGAGTGGTGAGGCTTGTTAACTAGCCATGACGCTCCAGTGAAAGGGCTTGAAAGGACAACAGAGAGAACCTGGTAATGAGCAACTTCAGAGGTACTAATTGTACAATATGTGGAACCAATTTAACATCAAGTGGTGTGGCCAAGTCATGGCTGAAAATGTTGGTGCACTGTGTTTTTTTTTCCTCACACGTCTCAGTTTCCTCCCTTAAAATTGTAATTTATGTGCTTGAGAGATCTGAAATCTGAAGTTAGATTATCTGTTCTGATTTGCAGATCATTGGCTGCTGTGTGTCCATCTTGGTCCTGAGTTCAGCGCTGCCGGTGATGTCCAGAACTCTAGGTGAGTACAGGCGTGATTATTTGTGTTTGCCTGCCTGTGTTAGAGAGTGTGGGCATGACAATTTCACAATTCACACCTACGCTGTGTTTACAGATTGAATTTTTAAAATAACAGTTGGACATTTTGGGAAATGGCTTATTCTCTTTCTTGTCAAGACTTAGATGAGATGATCATGTTCTATCTATCCACTGAATAAAAATCTATAGACAGCCTCTGGTTAGTTTAGCTTAGCAATACAAAAAAGCTAGCTAGAGTGTAACAAAATCCACCAATCAGCACCACTAAATTATATCTTATTTGTGTAATCTGAACAAGTAAAAAAAAAAACACAAGAAACAACAACAAGAAGTAGTCCTGTAAATAACTCCCTCAATAAAACCGCAACTTGTCGTTTTTACACTTCAGTTTAACAAACAAAATGTAATAATAATACATTTTATTTATCAGCACTTTCAATAAAACTCAAAGACACTTTACATAAAAACATAGAAGCAGCAAAACATGAAATAGTAAAACACTAAAAACACATCAGACTAAGCTAAACTTTAAAAGCAATTTTAAAAAGGCGAGAAGCGAGATGTGTGCTGATATCACCTCTAATGCTACACCTTCTGTCAGGACAAGGCTAGCTGTTTTACCCGGTTTCTAATATTTATGCTAAGCTAAGCTAACCGGCTGCTAGCTGAAGCTTCATATTAAGCAAAAAGACACCAGTGTTATCAATCTTCTCGTCCAACTCTTGGCAAGAAAGACGATTAGCACATTTTCCCCAAATGTCAAAATATTAAACAGAAATGTAGGTTGAACCGAATCTCCAGAGATGACATAACAACCTCACCACAAACAACCAGAAAGAGTAAATGCCCCTCCCCCACAACAGTTTCCAGTGCCGCCACTAACAGCAGACCATTAACTTAGCAAGTTGAATTCTCCTATAGTTTCCCATAGTGACATTTGAAAGGAGTGCAGGGTGAAGGGGTAAAAATGACAGGAGTAGCACCATCACAATGGCACTAATAAACATGCAGAGTGCAAAGCACAGCTGTTCAAATAGCACTACTCTGTTGGTCTCTCACACACACTCAAATACACACACAGAGTGGGAAAATGGGACAGAGTGAGCATACAGTGACTCATTGGGAGCTTTACAAAATATCAACAGGTTCTGCTTTGTGGCACTGAATAGATTAAAAGGAATAAATGCATGAGACAGAGTTAAAGCGAAAAGGCCCCCCAGCAAAAGAAAAAAGACGCGGAGAGTTGAGTGTGACGAAGTGAGATGTTAAGAAAGGGTTTTGTGTGTTGATGTGATGTTTCTTGTGCGTGTCAGTGTGAGAAACATGCACTGTACGAGACAATGGGGAACTGTACTTGAATTTTACTTAAAAGTATCTATATCCATAGTCTATCTACGTCTATCTATCGGTATCTCATCTACCTCTACTCTATCTATCTATCTATCTAGTTATCTATCCTATCTATCTATCTATCTATGTCTGTTTTAATAATGTAGTATAGTGACAAACCAGTTTCTTCACAGGTAATAATGATAGTTTGGAAACTCTAAATGGAAAAGTTGTTTAAGTTTTTATGTTAAGTGGTTGAACTTTATCTCATTCTTTAGGCATTTAGAGTACCATGGAGTTTGATTTATACTTATAGAACAAAATGATGGTGTTTCACCAGAATCTCATCTGGTTTCTGTCTCTAGTCCATAACATTTGTATCACAAAAAATTATAATAAAATCCAAACAAATATTTCTTTCAAGAGTTGATAGAGACCAATAACAGCTAAAATAGAGGGAATATTAAATTAGAATATTCTCTGCATGAGTAAATAAGCATATGTTTATAGATAGATTGAAAATAATCTGAATTTCATTTAAGACTCAAGCAAGTAGAAGTGTTTCTGTGACCTTAAAAATGCTTCATCACCTCACCCTCGCCTGACAAAATCCAGTCAAGTGTCCACATATCTGTATCATTTTATTAATTTATTTAGTTAGTATTAAAAAGCATGATAAAAAAACGACTACTAACATTGTTACAAATATGTATGTAAATTATATCATTAATATGCTATACTTTTTTTGGATGTTTTTTTGCCTTTATTACATAGAATACAGTAAAGTGCTGACAGGAACTGATTGGACTTGAACCAGGGATGCTGCAAATACACGAGCAGCCTCTTAAACCGCTCGGACACCAGAACATCTTTTGTTGCTCTCAAAAAGGAGCAACAAGCTCCTTTTGAGCAACTAGTCACGGATATATGCCTTTTATGCTGTGATTGTTATATCTGTTAATAGCCAGAAGCAGCCATGACAGAAACACCAGTAGCCTCACATATAAAACATTGCTCACATACACAGAAATGAATGTCACTGTGCCATACATCCCTGATGAATCCGACGTGTGCTTCTTGGATGCGGCTGCATACTAACGTCTCCAACTCTGCCACTGTACCACCGACATTTCAAATGCCAAGCATCTTTATTTTACCCGCAATTAGATTTTCTCAAATCACCAAACCAAGATCAAAACCTTTGGCATTAGAAATGGATGTAGCCAGACCACAGTGACAAGCTGTATCGACTGAAGTCTCAATCATCTCTCTTCCTGTCTCTTCACAGGCAATTTTGTTAAAGGTCCTTGATGCTTGCGAACTGCTTACTGCGGCTGTAAATACATCTCTCCAGGCACTGAATCGATTGCCCAATCTAATTGACGACAGAGGTTGTGAAGATGTTACCGGAGAAATAGAATGTATATAGACTTGTGCTTCTCCAGTGTGGCACATCTGAATATAATTTCTGCATACAGATGACTGAAACAAACCATTGTTGTGGTGCATAAACTAAACATATTGATGCAGTAATTCTGCTGGTCAATGTTGCATGCAAGATTAACATCTGAAAAAAATTAATACAATTAGTAACATTGAAGACAATTGTACACATCAGGTTATTGAAAGCTTAATTATAACCCCACATTATGTTATTATTGGATGGTACAGCTAGCCCATCCTGGTGTAGGAACACCCAGATTGGAAGGCCAAAATGGATAAGCAGGAAAACAATAGGGTGTTGATGGCTTTCCAGGCAGCATGCGAGCAGCCGTGTGTTGAAATTGGTCTAGCAGTGTGGAGCTGAGAGGAGCCTGCAGCAGAAATCACTTCTTTATCTCTGTCTGAAGGTCCTGGGAGAGAGATGAAGTCCACCTGCATACCACCTTTGCTGCTATACTTAGTCACTGATCCTGTCATATTCCACAGGGGACAGTCCTTACAATACTGCAAACCAAGACACAGTCAAGTGATGGAAATGTACATAAACTTTACAGTGCAGTGGTAGTTGATGGAGACTGAAACAAATCCACTCCACAACAACAACAACAACAAAGATACATAAACTTTGTCATGTTTTAATGACAGCATTGTCAGACATATTTATATATTAAAGCTAAAGTATAAAAGATGTTAAAAATACTAAAAATATCAGGTGCATACATTCTCGGGTTAAAATTTGGCAAACTATGCAAGTCCTCATTTCTGCAGAAGCTTACAAGATTGTGCTTGTTTTCGGTTTGAATTGAGTGGCTGACTCAAGTGGAGCTGTATACAGCTGGCTGATTTGGGAGTGGCTTTGTACCACCTTGCGTTAACTTTTCTATATGAATAGAAAAATGTACATGACAAACCATGGGGTTAGTCTTGGATGCAAAATGTAATTGGTCATGCTGTTTAATAATTGTTTTTATCCTTTTTCACGCTGAGATTATGAGGTATAATGCACAGGAAATAGTTTTTGTATGTAAGCCCTAAAAAGAGTTGGAGAGAGACACTATTGAAAGTGTCTTTACTGCAGATGCAGACTGTCAAACTGAAATAGTAATTGTGTTGTTTGAGAGTGTCAACTTGCTTTCTAACCCCGTTATTTGACTTGTATCTCTGTCCTTCACAGGCATCACCAGGTTTGATCTCTTGGGAGACTTCGGGAGGTTTAATTGGCTGGGAAACTTTTACATTGTCCTTTCATACAACATGCTGTTTGCGGTTGTGACAACACTCTGTCTTGTGAGAAAATTCACCTCAGCAGTACGGGAAGAGCTTCTAAAGGCCTTAGGTAAATTTATTTATTTATTTTTTATGTGTCATGAGGGTTTATAACCAGCACCTGTTAATATACTACAACAAAATAACCTCATTCTCTCATTGTCACACTGCTTACTTTGCTATGCTGCATGTTCTGTAGAATATAAAGCAATCTATTTAGTAATAGCACTTGACTACTCAATTTCATCCCAATTTTGTACCCATAAAGCGTTAGTCTGAAACACTGACAGCACCAGCCTATTCTGTGGCTTTTGAGGTAGTAAAAGTGGTAGGTAGTGTTTATTTCTCTCAGACAGCACGACCTGGAGTGACAAAATGGAAGAAATTGCAGCGAGATCCAATGTGCTGCGGGACTGACATGTGACAGAGGATGGGGCTAGTCTCAAAGGCTTGTGGTGACAGGCCCTGGATGTTTGATACACAGGGTGGGATAGGGTTAGAAAATGTCAGACAGAGGCACTGAGGGGAAAAAAGCACATCAATACCTCTGTCTAAGTGAAAGTCTGAGGCTTTTTAATGAGATTTCTCTCCCTTATCTCCCCCTGCCCAGGTCTGGATAAATTGCAACTGTCAAACAGCCCCACAGACCCTGAATCTGGGAAGCTCTCGGCCAACGGGCATCAGAAAACTCTGTGAAAGGGACGATAGATCAACATACACACAGACACACACACACTATAGTATGTATTCTGGTAGTATTCCGTGAACTTTCATTAAAGACATTATTAAATTGGATGCGGATTTAACAGAGACAAACATCACTCAGCCAAGCCCATTCCTCAAAGAGATGTTGCTTGCCCACTATATTCAACACTTCAGTTCAGAGGACGCATAGAGAGTTCCAGGTGAAAAACTCTACACACTGAAGTTAGACAAGGCACACACCAGCTGCATGCCATTATTATCTCCTATTCTCTTCTTTTTTTTTTTTGATGTTCATTGGCCAGGGCCTATCCTTCTAAAGAGAAGTATTGGCTATATCTACGTTACAGAGCCTAGCAGCTTGCTATTTTATTCCATCTTTTTGTGATGTTCAATTTATTTCTTCATTTAGTCCAACAGATTCGTCATCATCATAGATTGACCTTCTCTGTCGCTGCAGGACCGTTGCTCAATGCCAGAAATAACTTAGATAACAACAACACTTAATAGAAGAAAATTATGAAAAAATCAATTGGGGATACAGCAGTAAGGGCTGGATAGTGGATCAAACTACTAACC